TGGGCTGCAGGCGGTGCTAAACCGCTGCACCACCAGGGCTGCCCTGGTTCACTTCTGTTTTAAAGATGAGGACACTGAGGCACAGAGACATTAAGTAACTTGCCCAAGGTCACAGAGCTAATAGGCTGTGGCGTCAGAATTAGAACTCAGGCAATCTGGCCCAGAGCCCACACTCAAACACCTAGTTTGCTGCTTTACAAAAAGTTGTACCAATTTCCACTGGCACCATTAGTAAGTACGTGCTAAGATGCTACACTGCTCTGGAACACTTCTACTTTTTAATTAATACATTATTAGGTAGATCCCAACCTTCCCTTTCTCACCTTAAAGATAAGGTTGAGAGCCGAAATGGAGAGCTAACTATTCTCTAATACCATCTCTCTCCCCATTACCACAGTGGTGAATGAAATGGGAGTAGAGGCGTGGGCTTGATACTCAGTATGGGGTGAGGACAGTAAAGTACACATTGTGGCCCTAAATTCAGGCTTTGAACAGTCAGTTCCGCATGCTTTTTTCCTGCAAAGTGTGAAAATAATAAACAAATACCACTTACTGAGCACTTATGCCCCAAGCAAGCGTTATGGTAAGTATTCTGTAGACACTGACTCATTTGACCATGAGATGGGTATTATTACCCCATGTGGCAACAAGCTAGGGAAATACAGTCACAGTTGACCTGTACAATGATGCCTAAATGCCAGATAAATTCGACATCAAACTTTCAGGACTGGTTATCAGCCCCGGTTCTTTATCTTGCCATACAGTCGCAATACTTAATGAACCCTACTCCCTGCTCCCCTAAGAGATGAAACAAATAAATGACCCTACAAAGCTGGCCTGGGCCCAAATCAGAGACAATAGACACCTTTAAAGAGGCTCACTCTGGGATTTTAATTTACATTCAGCTTAGAGTGGGGATTGTTGACCTCCTGCCAGACAATCAACTACAAACCCAGCGAGGTAGAATGTTCATCTCAGTGCTGGAAGAAGGGACAGTAGGATCTATCTGTCTGTCACAGTGCTACGGAGAAAGGTTAGTTCTCATAGTGCCACGTGTCTGGAGAAAGATGGCCGGGACAACTGGGAACGCCTTTAATGGCAAATTACTTTTTGCTGCGGCTGTTTAACTCTTAGTACCAAAATATTGGCATCTATGGATATGGTCCAAAGGACAAGAATGATAAAAAAGGGTTAATCAGGCCAAGAAATGCGATTACATCAGTCAAAAGAAGAACCAGTAATTTCAAAGACCATCTGTGATTTTAGAGTAGATCCTATCAATAGGGATTAAAAAAAACCAATTTCAGAATAAATAACTTATTTTCTAATAAGGTAAGTTTTGTTCACAGATGGCTGTACTGCTTCTGTTACAAGTAGAAAATGTACAGGACACTTATTCTGAATTAACCTCACCAGTCGACTTTTCTATTTTTTATCATTATTAAAATTCAGACTGTCCTGAAATAGTCCTTTGTAGATTAAAAGGAAAAGCGACATATTCAGAAGATAGTATTAATCCTATGACTCAAGATTCATCCACAAGATGTCTGCTAGTATTGGGCCAGATGTATTTGGAAAGTTTTGAAGATGCACAGGGAAAGCACAGTTTCCCCGTAAGTGCACAGCTAGTGGTGACCCTTCTAGCTATCCCGCCGGGCAACCCACCCAGGGAGCGAGTGCAAGCCAGGTGAGGACACGGTGAAGCTGCATTGAGAGCAGCTGTGACTTAAGTTTAGGCTGAATCCTCTTTGGGGATCTTTCTTCACAAAGCTACCCCTCCTTCCTGGAACCAAACAGAAAGGACCTATGGGGCTACCAGAAAACCTCCAGGTGACCCCAGGTGATTCAATTCTCCTTTTGCAGTACAGATTCCTTCCTCAACATCACATTCAGAGCAGACATGGAATTTTCATTTTCTTGGTTTCCTGGAGCAGTCCACAGTACAACCTGTGAGTTTGTCCTGACTACCTTTGTACCATTTTGGGGACATTAGACACTATCGACAACAATGTCCTTGGAGTTCACAAACCCATTATATATATATTTTTACATTTTATTTTATTATTATTATTTTTTTACAAACCCATTATAGAGCAAACTGACTCCCTGGATTCTCTGGAAACAGGCCAGTGGTTTCTCACCAGAAGGCACAGGGGCCTGGGACCTGTCCCACCCCTCGGCCCTCCAAAGAGCGTTGTTTTCACATTGGGCAACATTTTAGACCTAGACGCAGAGTATCAGCTTTGGAATCAGCTCAGGATTCTAGAGCTAGATGGGCCAGTCAGACCTTGGGATAATTTCCTCAGTGTCTGAATCAGGGGTTTGGATGGTCGGCACCTCTTAGGAAAGTTGTAAGGATTAGGTAAGAAACCATCTGTAGGGACACCTGGGTGGCCCAGCTGTTGAGCATCTGCCTTTGGCTCAGGGTGTGATCCTGGAGTCCCAGGATCGGGCCTGCTTCTCCCTCTGCCTGTGTCTCTGCCTCTCTCTGGGTCTCTCATGAATAAACAAGTAGAAAAAAAAAAAAAAAGAACCCATCTGTAAAGTGCTTATCCTGCTGCTTATGTCTCAGCCCAGTGAATGGGGAGGTTGTCATCACAACACCCTTTGCCCCCTTTCATGCAATGGGTTTAAGTGCTGAGCTACTGAAAGGAAGTCTCACCTACAAGCAATCCTAAAGAAAACCACACACTGGGCAGCCCGGGTGGTTCAGTGGCTTAGCACCACCTTCAGTCCCGGGTGTGATCCTGGAGACCCGGGATCGAGTCCCATGTCAGGCTCCCTGCATGGAATGGAGAGTCTCTGCCTCTCTCTCTCTCTGTCTCTCATGAATAACATCTTTTTAATAAATAAATAAATAAATAAATAAATAAATAAATAAATAAATAAATAAAATTAAAACAAACAAAAAAAGAAAACCACAGACTGCAGAGAGCAGGAGGTTGATCTGAGCACCCCCCACTCCGGCCCCCCACCCCCAGTTCCCCACGCAGGAGCAACCCTTCTTTCAGCCTCGTTCATGCTTACTTACACTCTCCTTCTAGGTTGTCAACTCATATCCAGATGAGGGCTGAAGCTCCTTCTCAACCCGAGGACCAAGAGTGTCTGCTCGCAAAAGGCCGTAGTGTCACGGTTTAAAAGACTTGAGCATAGATTTTCAGGAATCACTTCCAGGCTCCCCCCCTTGCACTGTGTTCTGTCTGGAGCGAACAGAGCCAATTCCGCCTCTTTGAACCTACTTTCTTGTTTATACATAGAGGACAGGACCTAATGGAGCGGGTTGGAGGGATTAAATGAGATACTATTTACGTGTAAAGTTCATAGCAGAGTCGCTGGAGAGGAGTAGCAGTTCCATCACTCCTGAATCCAATTCAAAAAAACGCTAGGCAGGGGATCCCTGGGTGGCACAGCGGTTTGGCGCCTGCCTTTGGCCCAGGGCGCCATCCTGGAGACCCGGGATCGAATCCCACGTCGGGCTCCCGGTGCATGGAGCCTGCTTCTCCCTCTGCCTGTGTCTCTGCCTCTCTCTCTCTCTCTGTGCGACTATCATAAAAAAAAATATTACAAAAAAACGCAAGGCAAAAACTGCAGTCTTTCGGGTGCCTAGAAACCAGCAAATAATGGAAGGATGAGCTTGAAATCAGATTCTCTCCAAACAAATAGTGATGAACATACATCCTGCCTAATAAGGTAAAGATTTCACAGCCTTTGGAACTATGCTCACAGTTTACCTACGCTGCCCGTTCAGATTTCTGTCCTTATTTATTAGAATCACTGTGTCGGGCAAAGGTGCACACTACTTGAAATTACTTAAAAAAAAAAAATCAACTCCATACCACATTAGCTTCCTACAGGAAAGGAGAGGGGGTTGGAACCAACTCTTTGAAGACCTGTAGAATATTCCCGAGCTGCGGGTACAGTTAACCCTCTTGTTGTGCAAGTTGGGAAAACAGGACTAGGACAAAAGTGAAGCAGGTGAGGCCACCACGTCAGAGGTAAGCTACCATCATTTCGCTCCCCTGCATTTTCCATTTCTCAAGCTCACTCACCGACATGCCTTCTCAGGAAGCTACTGCCCAGTGAATGGCTATTGCCATTTGCTGCCATTTGGGGGGATGGAGTGTCGTGGTGGGGGGAGACTTTGAATTACCGGGGGTCTGAATGGTGGGGTGTCCTCTCACTTTTCCAGACGTGATTAACATCTTTTCTTTCAATAAGGCGATTGGTGGCCACTCACTCCACTACAGGGGCCGGTCCAGGCGCCCGCCCGAGACGCTCCAGGTGGACTGATTTCTGAGGGATGATTCACCTTCCCTTTCCTGTTTCGATGGAACACGGGGACGGCACGATTCCTGCCCCTGGAGAGCCCGCGTCCCCACCCCGCAAACTGGCCTTGTGACCGCGGCCCAGCTGGCGGAGGCGCAGGTGGGATCTCCGGGCGCCATTTTCAGGAAAACCCCACCTCGGGGCCGGGGGGCGCCCGGGAAGGGCCCGCGCCGAGGCCGAGGCGGAGGCCGAGGGGAGCGGGCCCCGCGGCGCGCCGGCAGGTGCGCGCTCCCGGCTCGGCGGGTCGCGCCCAGGCCCCCGGAGCCGGCGCCGCGCACGGGGCTCGGGCAGGCGGCGGCCGCGGGCGCCGGATCGGACGAGGGGGGCGCCCCCGCTGCGGGCCCGGGACAAAGGGGTTGCAGGGGCGCCCGTGCGCCCCGCTCGGCCTCCGCGGCCCCCGGAGCCAAGCCCGCACCCACGCGCTGCGAGCTGCCCGCGGCGCCCCCCTCCCCGGCGTACCCCGAAAGCCGCCCCCAGCCGCTCCCACTCGCGCCCCCGAGGGCTCCCGGTGCCCCGCCGCCGCCGCCGGACCCCAGGGGGGCGTGGGCAGGTGTCCGGGCTGCGCGCCGCCGCCGTGCCCGGTGCCGCCCCCCCGCCCCGCGCCCCCGCCCGCCGCCCCCCGCCCCTTCCCCGGCGCGCGGTCGCCGCACCCTCCGCGAGCGGCCGGCGGGGAGTCGCGAGGCGCGGCCGCCGGCGGAGGCGCCATGTGACGGGGCTCGGCGCGGTGACACGCGGCTCGGGCTCAGGGGCGGGCGCGCGGGGAATGGCCTGAGTCTCTCCCCCTTGGAGCCGTCACGAGCCATGGATGCGCCGAGGCGCCGCGCCGCGCCGGCAGGAGAATGACTGCGGCCCGGGACCCTCCGAGCCCGGGCGCGCGCGTGTGAGTGCGAGGCTGGCGAGCGGGGTGTGGGTGGGGGTTGGCGGTGGGGGGAGATTCTGATGCAATCGGGCCCAGGAGGAGGAGGAGGAGGAGGAGGAGGAGGAGGAGGAGGAGAGCCCGAGAGCGCGGGCTGGGGCGGCCACGCCGCGCCGCCTGAAGGTCGCCGGGAACCTCCGCCCTTCACCTTCCGCGGAGATCCGCCGCGCACGCCGGGCCTCCCCGCGCAGCCCGCCGCGACCCCCGCCGCCACCCCCGCCGCCGCCCCCGCCGCCGCCCGCGCGCCCGGCGGCCCGACCTCGCGCAGAGGCCGGCGCACGGCCCCCTCTGGCCGCTTTCCCCTCTAGTGCCCGAGGTAAGGCGATTTCGCTTGGGGGGCTGGGGGGCTGGGGGGCGGGCGAGCGGGCGGCGGCCGGGAGGGAAGGGAGTTCGCGGCGCGGGAGGCGGCGGCGGGGAGCGCGGCTCTGGCTGTCGGGACGAGCCCGGGGCTCGCCTCTTGCACCTGTGCGGGGCCGTGGCTCGGCCGGCGGGCGTGTGCGCGGCACCGATCTGGCTGCGGGGGTCGGGGCCGCGCGGGGCCGGGCGCTCCGCCGTTACGCACGCGGGGTCTGGGCTTTTCGGGGGGATTTCCTGCGCCCGCGGGGCCGTTGGAGAGAGAGCAGGTGATGCGGCGCGCGGGGCGCGTGCGGCGGGGCCGAGCCAGCCCCGGGAGCTCGCCTGCGGCCCCCTCCTCGGGCTGGGCCCCCTCCCTCGGCGGCGCCGCCGCCGCCGCCGCCGCCGCGTCGGGGGGCTCCGGGGGCCGGGGGGCTGGCGACGCGGGCGGTGATTCACGGTCGCTTCCCGCCCCAGGAGGCGCTTTCCAACGGGAGGAAGGCGAGGACGAGAAGCGCTGCTCGGGGAGCTGGCGAACAAAAGGCCGCCCCGCGCGGGGCCCGGGCGCCGACCGCCCTCGCCTCCCCTCGCCTCGCCCCTTCCTCCTTCCTCCCCGGCGCCTCGCTCGCGTCCCTAAACGTGGCCACAAAAGGGCCTTTGAACTCGCCGCGCCAGCGCCGGGAGGAAATCCTGCGCTCCGCCGCCCCGCCCCGCCCCGCCCGCGCCCCCCAGCGCCCCCCGGCGCCCCCGGCGCCCCGAGCGCCCGGCTCCTCCGCACCCGCGGGGACCCTGCAGGTCACGGGGCTGCCCGGGCGCTGCTGCCCTGCGGAGTCGCCCCCCCCACCCCGGGTTTGGGGTGAACTGCGATCAGAGGATGCACGGGAGCGGAGGGCGGCAAAAGGAATTTGGCGGTCACGGCGTCAGCGCGTTTCGGGGCGCCTCCACGGGCCGTCTCGGGCTTGGGAAGGTGGGGCTCCCCCGTCGGGAGCCCTTTGTGTCTCGCTCTGCGGCGCGGACCCCCTTTCGGAGCGCCGCGTCTCGGGTGTCAGCCTCTCCGCCTCCGGGATCGCGCCCTTTCTCAGACTAACCCCTGGCGCCGCGCGTAGCTAAGAGTGAAAGGGACCCCAAGCGCGAAGAAACGGTATTTATTTGTATGCGAAGGGGATTTGACATCTCTGCAGTGGAGGGTTTTTTTTTTTTTTTTTTTTTTTTTTTAATGTCAGGGGGAGGAGGGAATAAAGCAATGGTTTGCAGACTGCAGGGTACAGCCAGGCTGTAATTTGTCACCTTGATAGAAAAAACTGGGTAGCAACTTGTGCTGTTTCTGACGTCAGGACCACGGAAATAAAACCTGAGCCAGGTGGCTGGCTGGCCTCATTGTTAAAACATCTCACTGCGGGGCGGGTACTCCCGAAATCTATGTGAAACAGCCCAGAGGAGCCGCCGATCCTGGATTTTGCCTCGGCCCCAACCTCAAAATGGCTTTGCCCCTCTCAGTCACATCAGTTCTCAGCATGTCTCCTTAAGGTATTTAGGATACTTGCCTAGTCTGGTTTGAGATCGTAAAACCTTGATGTGGTTTATCCACTTCCCCTCCTGCCCCCAAATATTCAATAAATATTTCCTACTTGAGGACTTAATATATGTAACTAAAGTTCCTGTTTCTGTGTTTCCCTTTTTCCTAGAGGAAACCGACAATAAATGCACGTATAATGAATTTTAGGTGTGTGTTAGCAGAATGAAGAAATAAAACAGGATCACATGATGGGGGAAGGTGCTTGAAATAGATGACCGTCTAGCAGGATCTGTGTGGGAGGGTGACGTTTGTCCAGAGACTAGGAGGCCAGGCATCTGGCTGCTCTTGTCGGGTATTTTCCTCCCTCTGGATGACACTTGAGGGCAAAAACCAGTCTTACTCATAATTGTTCCCCTAATGCCCAGCATGGAGTAGCTGCTTAAGAAATGACTCTTGGCTTGAGACCTTAGCCATCTCACTCACTTCTTTAAGCGACTGTTGACCATCCCTTCCTTCCTTTCTTTCTTTCTTTTTTTTTTTTCTTTTAAGATTTTATTTACTCATCATAGACATAGAGGGAGAGAGAGGCAGAGACACAGGCAGAGGGAGAAGCAGGCCCCATGCAGGGAGCCCTATGTGGGACTCGATCCCAGGTTTTCAGGATCATGACCTGAGCCAAAGGCATACGCTCAACGACTGAGCCACCCAGGTGCCCCATCATCCCTTCCTTTCTATATCACATTGTTTCCCTTTCTCCCAAGTGAAAACGTGAGAGCTTTCTTTCTGCTTCTCTTTCCCTCTTACTCTCCTCCCTCTTCTGAGCACTTACCAGGCCCTTGCTAATGCCTCTCAAACCTGTCTTCTCATCTACATTCCCACTGCCCCAAGTTCAGGTCCCTGTCACCAGTCTTAGACATGGCAATGCAAGTAGTAGGTTGGGATACAAGGATCACGAAACAGACATGGGGGTGCTCTGAAGAAACCAGTGCTTCCTGCAAACACAACACGTGATGAAGAGTGGAGCAGGGAATTAATGAGCTGTAACAACTTTCTAGTTGCTCTGCTCGGGTACCAAGCCCCTGCTCCCTAATCAGTCTCCAGGCTTCCATGGATCTGTATTTCTTAGACTCGTTTTGCATTTTTTAGTGACTTTGCTTCTAAAAACCTTCAGGGGGTTCTCGTCGCCTAAAATTAAAGTCTCCATTCCTTAGCCAGTCAACTCAGGACCCTCCACGGTCTGATGCCTCGTCTCTTTCCATCTTTCTCACAGTTTACCCTGTGCTCTCCCTGTCACTTTGCTGCTTCAGCACCGGTGTTGATTCTGGACTGGAATGCCTCCTGTAATCCTGTGTGTGAAGGCCTAGCCTGAGTGTCACTTTTCTCCCCCTTCAAATAAAGTGTTCACTGGTCATCTCTTAGCATTTTCATAAGGATGTATCTCTTACTTTTTGCACTTTTGTCACTCCAGGTCACGGAAGGCAGGAGATAAGGCCACAGGCTTCGAGTTAAAAGTAAATACTGAGGGGATCCCTGGGTGGCTCAATGGTTTAGCTCCTGCCTTCGGCCCAGGGCTTGATCCTGGAGTTCCAGGATCGAGTCCCACATCAGGCTCCCTGCATGGGGCCTGCTTCTACCTCTGCCTGTGTCTCTGCCTCTCTCTCTCTCTCTCTCTCTCTCTCTCTGTGTGTCTCTCATGAATGAATAAATACAATTTTAAAAATAATAATAATTCAGAACACATTATTAAAAAAAAAAAAAGTAAATACGGAGTTTCAACTTACCAACCAGCCCAGGGACATGGGGGCTTGTTTAGCATCTCTAAACCTTAGTGTTTTTGTTTTGTCTTTTTAAAAGATTTTATTTTATTTTATTTTATTATTTTTTTTGTGTGTGTGTTTTGTCTTTTTAAAAGATTTTATTGATTTATTTGAGAGAGAGAGAGAGCTGGGGGAGGGGCAGAGGGAGGGAGAGAGAATCCTCAAGCAAACTCCCCACTGAGTGTGGAGCTGGGAGCTGGATGTGGGGTTCAGTCTCATGGCCCTGAGATTATGACCTGAGCCGAAATCAAGAGTAGGCTGCTCAACCCACTAAGCCATCCAGGCACCCCTGGCTTTGTGTTTTCATTTGTTAAATGAGAATGAAGGTAATGGTGATGGTGGTGGTAGTGGTCCCTATCTTCTTGAGGTATCCTGAATATTAAATTAAGATAACGTGTGTGAAGTGCTGGGCACCATGTCAGCACTCCATATATATTGTATTAAAAAAGGACTTCAGGTTTCTCATCTATCAGAAGTGGTGGGAAAGTTGATCAGTAAAGTTCCCCTTACCTCTGGTATTCTGTGCATATTTAATCATTTAAAATACTTTTCTGAAAATAACATCTTAATGGAAACTATGAAAGGTGGTGTGGGGGCGGGGAAAGGATGTGTGTAGAAGTAAGCACTTTCAAAATCGCATCACATACTTCAGAAAAAGGCACCTTGGACCACTGACCCTAAACTGTGTCTTGTAAAAGTGCTGTTACACTTGCTTCTAAAATCTGATCATATTGTAGCCATTGGTTTTCTAGTGACCACCTAGTGTTAGGGCTACTTAATAACAGTAAAGGAATTCAGTGATCAGGGGGCACGATGTTTTGGGGAAACTTTGCAAGAACCAGGCTTACGATCAAGGAATTCTGCCTCAGTTTACCTGGTAAAGTTACAGTGTGTCTTTGCCACTAATTAGCTGGGTGCACTTGGGCAAATCATTTAACGTTTTTATGCCTCATTTTCTCATCCGTCCAGTGCTAATAAATAGTGTCCAAGCTGCCTAACCCATAGAGTTGTGCAGATACAATGAGAACAGAGCTGAGGAAATCCTTGAACAACTTCAAAGAAGTACTCAAGATGATAATCATCTTGAGTTAAATGTGCTGCTAATCCACAGCCTTAGGGCACAAGTTCAGATTAGTGATTCTCAACTCTGGCTTCACATTAGACCTCCTTGGGGTCTTTTATTTTTATTTTTCATTTATTTTTAAAAATATTTATTTATTTGAGATAGGAAAAAAAAAAAAAAGAGTGAGCAAGCAGGTGGGAGGGACAGAGGGAGACAATCCAGGCAGACTCCCTGC